TCAGCAAGCATTTTCCACAAGTTGTCCACAAGCATTTTTCTTTGTGCTTTCGCCTCAAAATGAAGAACACGTAAACTTACGCATTCTCCTTCATGAAGAACACGTAAACTTACGATAGTTATCTCCAGTTTCCCCTGCGTCATTAAAGTACTAATTACAACACTTGAAGAAGTAAAAGTAGCGTAATACTTACGAGATCCTATATTTGAATTAATTTCCCATAAAGAGTAAAAACTGTTTTTGATAATGACACATTGAAAACATCTCTTCCTGTACACTTACGAACAGGACCCGAATGGAGGGAATACTGGCACGGTCTTAGCGGCATCCAAAATCGTCCCAAATTATGACGGTGGGACGGACAAATAAACATCATCTTAAACTGGTCTTCGGTAAGATTGAACATTCCCGCGCGAATAGCAATTAACTCGTTCTCTCTCAAGTTCGATTTAGAAAGATGACAGTTTGATAGTTGAACACTCATATCTTCCTTACAATCAATTAGGCAACTAATCTCCTGTAATCCACGACTTTCACCACAACAAATTCCACCAACGCCAGCAAATGAACAACTTTTCTCCATAATCATAACTATATACTAGTAAGCTCCTAGAAATATCTAAAAACGGCACTTCTTTGTGTTAATTTTCTGTTAAACAAAACAGGTGTGGAAATTACAAAGGAACACTGTCATTGATAGTCTTGATATTATTTAAGAAGCAAGTTTAAAAAATACTCCAATAATTATTTTTAACAATGGCGCATTGAAGAACAAAAACAGCTTGTATAAATTGCGTCTGCTATTATTTTCTGCTATTATTTTTTGCTATTATTTTCGTGGTTTTGTATTATTATTTTATAAATTAGAGAAACTTAAAAATTGGCTACAAACGTAATCCCCTTGGCATACAGACTACAGGTACACAATTTACCAACCTCGAAATATTTTCGACTACTCCCGAACGTTTGATTAAAGACTAAATTTGCGAGATTAAATTGTTTGTTGAAGAATTAACACGCGAAAATAACTATCCAGGTAGGAAGTTAAGTATAAAGTTTAGTATATTGTTGCTTTCGTAATATAGCGTGTATTCTATTTATGGCACACTCATCAGTACATATTAAACAACGATAATATATTGTACATTATGTTTGCGTGCAACTATTTAGTAATTTTAATCAACTTTAAAACGATCAATTCTAAAGGCTTTCCAAAAGCTTAAAAAAATTAGAAGGCGGTGTTTGTATTCATATATAAGAACTTATAAACACTATTTTATATTTATAATAATTGCTGATATAAATTTATAAAAGAGCTATTTATAATAGAGCTATTTATAGCCATAATTTATGAATTTTGCACTCCCTCATATTCCTTTTGCCGACAAGTTTTATTGCGAATAAAATAACTTTAAGTATATTCTACTTTAACCCTAGAAGTGTTTTAGACACCAGGTAGGTTGCACTTTTGAGAATTTTTAGTTTGAATTTTATACCTAATCATTAGTTGTTCGGCGAACGAAAATGCCGACATCCTTGGATGGAGACTAGTAAGCTTAAAATAAGATGTACATTCAAATTCTTTCAACATTCTAAAAGAAGAATAATATGTCTCAATACAATGAAAAAAGTTTTTAATTTGACGCGAAACTTCCCGAGTTATGATGCACAATTTAACACACATTTGACCGCCGTTTTCGGGGTCAAATTTCAGTGTCGCTGACGTCCAGACAAAAATTCGTCATAACTCAAAAAAAAAAGAAACATTTAGAAATTCTAGTATTAGTTTAATACCTTTTAGGACAAAGGTAGTTCATGGTAAAAATATAAAGGAAATCTACTTTTCAACCTGAAACGCTCTGCATGGTTCTTAGTGAGACAGCCACTTAACAAGCTAAAACTAATAAGGCTAATAACGGAAATCTATACTGTCCATGTTCAATAATATAGGACTAACAACAACTTATTACATTATAATAGTTTTGTTTGTGGAAACACCACGTAAATTTATTACTGCAGGAGTGAAATTACGTGGTGTTTCCACAAACAAAACTATTATATTTTATCACCATGCAAACATACAAAGAACTTATAACTTATTACATTGTTAAGCGATCTTGCTCTTTTGCACTTTACACACACTGATTTCCAGGTGCGCGGATCGACACATTTGAAAGTTTTGGATAGTGCATGTTTGTAGTAGAGTTTTAAGACCTGATTTAAAAGACAGCAAACCTATATCTCTAGTACGCAAGTTACTATTTAATATGTTCCACGTTTTGCAAGTTCTTATAAAAAATGAGGTCTGGAATGTTACGGTTTTCGCATAAGGAATAACAAATCTAATCAGGTTTGCGTTTGATTCACTTCTTGTAATTCCTGATCCAGCCATGATCGGTAGAGCACGTTCGTCAATGTATGTAAGATTATTGATGATCTTGATCTTTTTTAGGATGGTGTTGTAGTGAAATTAGAATAAAACAAGCACTCGTGAAATTTGAATAAAACAGTTTTTCAAAGATCTCAAGTAACAGTTTTTCCAAAGATATCAAATAACACTCATCCTTCGGACTCGTGCTATTTTATTGATGCTTTTGAAAAACCCACTGGTGCATGAATTTCCGCAGACTCATGACATTATCTCTATTGGAGGAGTGGACCTAGCACATCCCTGTGTCTGAAATGAAAACGGTGAAAACGGGGAGGCTAGGGGAGGGACTAAAGCCCTCAACTTTGGAAAAGTAGAAAGAAGGAGCAAAGGCCCTCCAAAGATAATCATAATAATTCATAATCCCCCTGTTACGTGGCTTGAAACAATTGTTGTATATATAGGAGGTTAAATCGAGGTTTCTACGTGTTAAATCTTCAGAACGCAAGAAACGCGATTTCAGGGAGTCTATATTTCAAAGTTCTCCCCAAGACTTTGTTTAGCCTATCCCAACCAAACCAATTATGTAAATAATTGTCTATAATTTAAGTTTAAATATACCAAGAATATAAATGAAGAAAAAACTAACATAGCAACAGCTGTTACTTTCCCTTTTTTTAATTTTGCAAATGTTATAGGCACAATTCTACGTGCTCCTGATCGCAAGCACACTTCCGCTACACATCGACAATACAAACTCAGTGCCCGTCAGAATTAATTACCGCGGTTAAGACTTAACGAAATAAATGCTCTGCAAAATAAATACTCGTGTGTTGAAAGAAAGAATTATGAATATCGCAAACCTACAAGAACCTACATGTTATTAAAAGTTCCAATAAAATATTCTAATGAAGGCCTTCCACATTTTCAGCATTTGGACGATTAGGTATATAAAAGAAAGTCAAACTACAATCATATTTCAATGTAGAACACTATTTCAACTCTCCAATATAATCATCTGCGATTGCAAGCTATAGCTTTAATATAGCTTACTATGCATCGGATGCATGACAATGACGTCCTCGTGATGAAAGACAAAGATTAAATAGGGGAAGTGCTGAGCGGGCACTGATCACAAAGCTCTTTCGACACAAATTGCATAATACATCATCTATTACTTACTCACGCTTGCGCGCTACGTCCTGAGTAGTATAGGAAGGGGGGGGGGGGTGCTGGATAATTCAGACCCCTGAAAATACCAGTTTCCATCATTCGTTTCAGTCCACGTCACACGTTTATTACGTTAGATTGACCTCGACCTAGAACATGCTGAAACCCTTTTCTAGACGCTATTCAGTACCAGTTTTTACAATTCTGAGAAAAAATGGTCATTTCCGAGAGTGTGGGACTGATCCGAGGTCTTCATTCCAGACCATGTGTTACCCATTACCCCTACCTTACATTCTGTCCAACAACACCTGCAACACATAGTTAACCTACGCAAACACATCCTCGGACCAATCTGTGTCAGGTCCCGTCTCATCTTGACTGTCATCACCTGAGTAATAGTCTGAAGCTCAATCACTTTCAAGTTCGTACCCACCTTCTATTGCATGGTGGCCGTAAGCGTAACTGGTAATACCATCCTCAGGTAGATGTCTCTTATCATCGAAACAACTAAGTGTCACCTTACGACATTCATACGTTCCCAGCTGATGTTTCACACTTCGCATTGTGTTCATATTATGCCTCAACTGTTTCTTCTCACTTATTACTTTCATGAAGTCATCATGGGTTAGCTTGTTTTTGATCACATACATTTTAACTCCCTTTGCTGTCATCCCACCTTTACCATCCTCTTTCACATAACTGTACATCTTACTTCTAAGTCCACAGAACTCCACAATGGGAACACCACCAGCCTCATCCTTAAACTTTCCTATCACTTTCTTATTTCGGTCGTACTAGAATGGTGAATACTTTGGATAATCGGAATTATCAAAGCAGTCATCGTATCTACTAATCTCATCAAAGTCTTGATACACATCCTCAGTTTTAATGTCGTACAACAGCCTGTCAGTGTCGGTGAACAATAGCTTGCATTGATTACCATACTCACTCTTCATTAAACCGTAGTGGAAGTCGTACATCAATACCTTTGACAACTCAAGTACACACATCCCGACATAACAGGGCTTATTCAACGTCAGCACTTCCTTCATTTTTTTGACAGCCACCAAGTCACCAGTCATGATCCTCTGTGATTGAAAGCAGGGACTTGCCACAGCCTTTAACATTTCGGTTTCCGTAGTAATGAGTTTCACATCAACTCTCTTCCTCACGTTCTCCATTGTTTTTCCATAGATGGAATTGTTCATTAGCTTGAAGAAGTTCTTCTCAAAGGTGTTCTTAGAGGCAGCCCTCATTTTCGTGTTGTAGTCAATGCAATCCGCCAACCACTTTGACGGCTTGAACGTCACTGCTCTCTGAACCTTCGTCAGCACCATTCCACAAGACATGTAGATATCGAGGTTCCTTGCATGTAGGACGTATTTTTTTCGGGGACCAAGGGTTGTCACCAGCTTCTTCACACCACCCACAGTAATGTTGTACTTATCTGCTATTTCTCTCGCGTAGTCTGACAACATGTCCTTCGTGATTTCCTTACTTTCAGGTGCTAGTGGATAACCGTTGTGCATTTCGTGTAGTTTCTTCGGATATTCCAGGTCTACTTCCAGCACCATACCCCTCTTACTATTTCCGATATAGTCATTGTAGTTGATTTTATCGGGGTTCTCAACCCATTTAAAATCCCCGTAAGGTAGCGGTTGTGACATTGCCCATCCATAGAGATTGTTGGCGTCCAAGTACATTAGGTAGTTACTTTTCTTAGTCTTATCATATGTACTCATGTATTTGTTGTTAGCCTTTGCATGTCGATGTGCTATGTAGCTGGTTCCGCCATGCATTCCTTTTTCAAATAACTGAAACATGTCCATGTCACTCATCAGCTCTATTTTAGCACCTGACCTTTTCAGGAACGCGTCCCAACTAAGTCCTGGAGCAGAAACGTAATGTGCCGGGTCCAATCCATAGTTTTTCAAGCAGGTCTTCCTGAAGTTCTCAAAGACGTCGGCTAATAGTAACACATCTGTTTCCAGGTACACGTCATGATAGTCTTTCATCGTTTTCATTCCAAAGTGTTTCCACACTCGCCGTGCTCTTTCATAGTCTTCATCTGATACCTCCGACTCATACAGAGTTGAGTAGAAGTCTTTCTTCTCCGGTAGTTGTTTTGTCTTCAGTTTCTTCGCGCTACTCAGGAACTCGTAAGGAAATATTCCCTTCTGTGTTACCAAGTCAAAGTCCTCTCCTTGCCAACGCTGTCCTACCAGGTGGAACTCTTCCTTTGGAAGGAAGCTGGCTAGTGACTCAAGTGATGAAGCCATGAACTGTATCGAGTCAATGAACACTAAGTGTTTACCTAGTGTAAAGGACAAGTACTTTTCCATATTGTTTGGTATCACATTTATTTCAAGTCCAAAGTTCCCTATCTCCTGCATTATTAGATGGGAGTCGTATCCTCTCAGATTGTGGAATACAACTGGGATTTTCCATGAGAGTTTGTTGTTGAGGTTACACTTGTTGTGTGCAGCTCCTCGGTACTTACCTGTGACATGATAGTGGTCCCTCACCTTGTCATCACCTTCCATTTTCCCACAGCATATGTGACACTCCGTTGCAGCTTGGAACTCACTTTCCTGTTCATCTGTTATTGTCATCGGTTTCTTAAACTTACTGTACATAATCTGTTTACACATCTCAGTTTCTTTGATAACTGCCTTTAGGAATCTATATGCTGCGTCTTTTTCAACGTAACTTGTGTACTCACCTGACTGGTAGTCATCGTAGTGACACACACGTTTCAACCCAAAGCTACATGCGTGGCGAGTCTGATATCTGTTTGTGTAGCTTTCATTCACAGTGTCGTCCATTTCCCTGTCTCTATCGGAGACCAGCAGTGACTCAAAGTCGGCATATATCACGAATGGGGCAGGTAGCTGGTTCTTATGATTTTTGAACTTTATTTTTGTACCCTCCTTCGGCAACTTCACCGCCTGCACTCCATTCACTAATGAGCAGGTCTCCTTATGTTTAGCCAGGGATTCTTCACTCTCACAGTTGTGGAAGCAGTTCAGGCAGAAGTGTTTCTTAGTTTTCTTGTTATTGACACTACATAGTAACCTGTTAACGTCCTTTATGAGTACGTAGTGGAGTTTGCCTTTACCGTCTCCAAGTAATAGCAATTCCATATGGTCCTCGTATTTCTCCTTGGAGATCCTGATTGGGTAGAACCGCTTCTTTCCCTTGTAGCCCAGCATTGTTATGTTGATCTTATTCTTTTTCTCAATCTTTCCAATGTCGCCTACCTTAACTGGGAACTTTATTCCTTCATAGTCCAGACCGTCCCCGTATTCAACGTCCTTATTCGTTATGTAAGTGGCGTTGTTTTTCTTCGGTCTGTGGTGTCTTACGTGGCACCACAAGAAGCACAGTGCATCATCATTCCTAATGTTGATCAGCCCTGACATTGAGTTGCTGATATCCTGGGGTAACTTTATGTAGGAACTACCTTTCAATGGTTTGTACATTGCGATGTTCACGTAGTGACTCTCAATATTCATTATCCTCCGGTTGCTACCTAGGTTTAGAAATGCTTCGATTCTCAATAGGATCAACTGCTGGTTTGCTGCGGCAGTACTTTCAATGTTCTCGAAGTTGGTAATAGTTCCTGTTTTTGACTTGAAGTACACTGAGTCTTTACTTGTTTTTCCGTTACCAATTTCCTTTGACATTCTAACTTCAATGTTTCCGTCTATTTTAAACCATCCATTCTCTTCATCTCCTTCACCAGTATTTCTCTTACAACTTGTCTGCTTGAGGTTAGCTGTTCCAGTGGATCGATATGTGTTAACTACAGTCTCTATCTTCCTATACTTGGGTTTCTGCAGGTCTGTGCTGAATGGGTCTATCTCACGTTCCTCATAGTGTTGCATAGGTGGTTGCAGCTTACCTTCCTTCATTTGTTTCCCAGGTTTCCTCAGTTTTACTGGTTTAGGTTTTTTCAAGTTAATTGAAACTGATGATTTTACGGTTGGTTTTACTTGTTTCATTGGGAAGGTCTGTATTTGTTTTGGTGTTATACTTACTGTTGAGAGTGTGTTTATAGGTATTGGTTTTACCAGATTGATCTGTATGCTTGAGGTGTATTTCTTTGTTCTAGGTTTGGGAGTTGGTCTTACTTTTATGGTTGAGGACCTAGGTTTTGGTACTGGCCTTACTTTTGGGAACACTGTTCTAGGTTTTGGTGTCGGTCTCCATGGTTCTACTCCCTCCGGTATCTCGGGGTGGTTCTCGTGTTGGTCTCTTCGGTTGTGGTCTCATCGCGTATCCTTTTAGCGGGATGAACTCGGTGTCTTCAGCGCGTCTTCTCATTGTTTGTTTCCCTGTCATTGTCCCACTCTTTATACTATTAGTTGAGAAAATATTTTTTTCATCTGGACGCACCCCACCCACTATACTGTTAGTATGTTGATTTTTCTTTAAGTCAAAAGTTGTTCCGGATTCTCCTGCCATTGTCTCGCTCTCTATACCTTTGTGATAGAAAATATTTTTTCGTCTGAACGCACACCCCTCATTATATTATTAGTAACTGAACTTTTCTTTAAGTCAAAACTCACTCCGGATTTTCCTGTCATTTTCTCATTCTCTATAACTTAGGTGTATAAAATTATTTTTAAGTCGAGGTCAAAGTTGGGTCGCCCTATAGTCTTGAAATTTATGTCGCCCTATAGTCTTAAAATTTTTTTGGTAAATTTATGTCGCCCTATAGTCTTGAAAGTTTTTTATGAAAAAATTAGCGGTCAATTTTAGACCGCCCTATAGTCTTGAAATTTTTTTAGTTAATTTTGTCTTGTCTTCCAAGAGAGGTAGTAAGGACAATCCCGACCGTCCCACCTGAGTTCTACAAACACTTATCCGTAGAGCCGGCCCTCTAGGTGGTTGATTAACTTCTGTGTCTTAATGTCTTCCGGGGGGTTTCTCAGTTCGATCTTACACATGCCCGCTAGCCTGAGTAGGTAAAACCTATATCTAACAATGTTCCTCCCCCGCTCGAGAACTAACCTCTCTATACATCTTACTACCAACTTGAATAGGATTATTAGTTTCTCCCTGTCACGATTTGCGACATGCTTCACTAGTAGACGGTTAAACCATTTGACTTTGTTGTGCTTACTCTTTTTCTTCAGGTAGTCATTCTTGTTGTGGTTGTAACTTATGTAACTGGAAAGGTTTCTCATCCCACTTGTCCCACATTCTGTACAGGTGTCTGCACCATTTAGAACAATAAGTTTTTTACTTTTACATTCCCTACAATGGTGTTCTGGTCTCTGTCTCCTGATTATTCTCCTATGCACGTACTTCATGACTAACTTCTCAAGTTCTTGCATGCTTTCAGCGTTCTTTCCAACCATCACTATCTCATCCACAGATACTTCCAACAGCCAGTCCATTACCTATATCATTACAATAGAAAATATACAGCACAACCAAGCGCACCACCAGTTAGTAGACTGAAGAGCACCATGTATTCTTCCATCTCGGGACTAGGCGTGTAGCAGTCACTAAGTTGTGGTTCTCTAGGTTTAGTTTTGCCAGCAAGTTCTTGTACTCCTCTTAGTAGTTCCAGTGACTGGTTAGTTGATTTGATGTCTTTGTTAGCATCGGCTAGTTCATTCCTTAATTCATCAAGTTTATCTTGTCTAGCTTGTAGTTTCTCTAAGTACTTTTCTTTCTCACCAGCAAGCTTCTCCATTGCTAGGTCGTGTCTTTTGGTCTCTTCCTTAAATCCGTCCTTATCAAAGTATTTTACAAGGTATCCTGCACCTGCGAATGCGTTAAATAGACCTGCCAAAGCAGTACTTGCCATGTTATATATTTACTGAGGGGATCATCTGGGATAAACTTCTTTCTTTTCAAGTATGATAACAGTAGAGAGGATGCGCTTACTGATAGTGCTAGTTTAACAAATCCCTTAATATTCTCAGGTGTGCCGAATGGTTCTTTCAATACCTTTTTAGATACCATTGATACACCGACCACTCCTGCTGTTACTAACACAGCGGTGTACACTTCATTAGCCATGTTCTTCTCTGTACTCATCTTGTTATAACATACGTCATGTTTAACATGTTACTCCAGTGAGTCAACATTGGAAGTGTCATGACGTCTTTCAATTGTTACAGTGTCTGGTTCTATCTTTGGTTCCAATGCTTTTTCTTCTCTCCGGTTCATCTTGTAGGTGATGAATAGGGTTATTACTGCAACTATTAATCCAGCTATTACAAGTGTGCTGTTACTTGTGGTGAACTCCTGGTCTTCCAACTTTTTCTTCTTCCTATCTTTTGCTATCTTACTGATGGCAGCTAGTCGTTTCCCTGCTTCTACTCTACGTGGGTCCTTCTTCTTTTCACTAGTCACTTGTACTTGATTTATCTCGGATTTATCTGCCATTTACTTGTAACATACCTCAGGTTTTACTTGATAGTTACTTGTGAGATACCTTAAATTTACTGGTAAGATAACTGGTGAGTTAACTTGAATTTACTGGTAAGATATCTTGAATTTACTGGTGAGATAACTGGTGAGTTAACTTGAATTTACTGGTAATATATCTTGAATCTTGGTGAGATAACTGGTGAGTTAACTTGAATTTACTGGTAAGATATCTTTGGTTACTCACCGGATTGCTAAAAAAAAGCCTAACCATTTTTTGGTCAGGCGGATTGAAAATTAGTACTTACATCTACGGGTGATGTCATATATTATTGCGGTCCTTCGTTTGAGTTTTGTCAGCTCACCTTTAAGTTTGTGGTTTCTGGATTTCCGCGGTGGGGTCAGGTGTGAAGTACTCAGTGATGGCTCTTGTGATTTTGTCGTAGTCGTTCGACACCAAGGTCTTGAACTTTTGTTTATCCATTTTTATCAACACTTCCCTTTGGACGTCGCTTAACACTCCCCATCCCTTCGGTGTTTAAGCTCAATAGCAAACCCACTGTGTGTACCACAAGGACTAACAATGAGTATGTCCGGTTGATCCTTAAGGTAACCTTTTCTTGCACTGTTTATTCTCTTATATGATGTATCCTGGTTTTCACCGAGACCTGCAATCACAATGGCATCTGGGTAGTACTTCCTCAGGTACTCAACAACTTTGTAGTGGAGTTCAGTCTCATTGAGAAGCCTGATCTGGTTGCCGATGAGGGGTCTGTCTGTTGGGACGGTGAATTTACCAGTCTAACGTATCGAAGGTAGTACTTCTTCGAAATCCACTCTTGGAAGGCCACTGCTGACTTTATCCTAGATCTGAATATTAACTGGTATACACCTTGCTCAAAGATGAAAAGTGTGTCTGGATGTAGCTTCTGGGAACCCCGTCTATAAACGGGGTCTTCCACTTTGAACTTATACTTCTTCCAAACGCTTTTCCTAATTGCTTGGTCTGTGTCGATGTATCCCAGTGATTCTGCAACGTCCTTTGCTGTGAAGAAGTACTCATCATCTAACTTCATTATTCTAACACTCGCGGATAATTTCTCATTCACAAAAAGTTTTTCCATATTCTCTATACCTTTAGTTTAGAAAATAATTTTTTCTGGTGAACGCGCCCTATAGGTTTGAAGAATTTTTTATGTTATTTGAATATACCTGGTAATACCTAATTAGTTCATTGAAACCGTTCCAGGATGACTATCAAAAGGGGCTCCGTTTTGGGTACCCATTGTGATCTTGTTCTTTTACCAAACATGTTTTTGATGCTGGTCCCCTATAGTCTTGAAATCTTTTCGAAAATCCTATGCGATTGCGTTTGTGTCATTGGTGAAATTCCTGAGGTCCTTCTGTAGTTTCTTGATGGAAGTTTCTAGTTCCGCTATAACCTCCTCGTTTCTCTTCGTCTTGGTTAATAGCTCCTCTATCACATCCTCGTACTCTGTACCTGCCCATGGGGTTTCCCAGTCGTATGGTTCTGCATCTTTATTTAATAACTTATGTAGTTGCGGCATCTTTATTTAATAACTTATGTTTAATCCTTATTTTCAACTGCTTCCACCTGCTTTGTTTGGGCCACTTATGTGATACAATATGTTTTGCTGTTGTGCATCCACCTGAGATTAGACCGATGAATGGAATGTGTGGTGATATCATCCTAGTGAGTGAGTTTATGTCTGCCTTTAGAAGTTCATCTGCTAGTAGTTCCTCTGATAGTTTGTCTGCGCTTTCCACTGCATCTACCCGAACTAATACACTTGCGAATTTGGAAATGATGAGGACGGTCATGAAATCACTTGCCTTTCCAAACCTTTCTTACTCGTACTCTTGATACAGTTTTTCTATCACTTTTTTGTTGGCCTTCTTTATAAATGCGGGTGACTTGTTGATGAGACACTCCCTTGAAAGTTGGTCTAGTTTCTCCCTCTTTTTTATCCACCGGCGCGTTTGGATTTTTCAGCGGCTTTTGAACTTCTTCAAGTTTCTTTAAGTGCGGCTTCCATTACTTCATCGTCTGATTCATAGTCGCTTTTTGTGGTCACCATTATACAATACTGAATGTTTAATGTTTTATGGTGTAGATATATGGGTGTTTCAGTAGTGTCAAGTGCGGCGTACTTTTACTTCATCGTCTGATTCATAGTCGCTTTTTGTGGTCACCATTATACAATACTGAATGTTTAATGTTTTATGGTGTAGATATATGGGTGTTTCAGCAGTATGTCAAGTGCGGCGTACTTTTCACTTCTCAAGATTTTTGTTATCTCATTGATGGACTCTTGCGGTACTCCTCTTTTAAGACTACTTAAAAGTAGTCGTCAGTTATTACCTCCATGTCTTTTCTACTTGGGTTATAAAAAGTGACTAACCTACTGATGTTATCCCTGAATGGTTTTGCTATTGAGCTCAATTGTTATGTAAGTACTACTACAGACAATCCGTAATGTCTCGCGGAGAATGCAAGTTTAACTAGCTCTGATACTCTTTGTTTGACAGCTTGACTACATGCACAATCATCAACTACTATTAAAGTGTTAGTTCCCTTGAATATAGTAGCGACCGCCTGTAATACATTGTTGATCAGTTCCTGTGAACAGGGGATTTTAATAACACCGTGGTCGTTGAGGTGTGACCATGTGATGTACGTTGTGTTCCATTCAATGGTTGGACATATGATGATAATGTAGTCGAAAACTTGGTGGTATTCTGTCTCTATCATGTTGAGGAGAAACTGTGTTTTACCACTCCCAGTGATTCCAACTAGAAGCATGTTGAGCGGCGGTTGAGGTCCAATCTCTATGTGTTACCTTTAGTGTTGGATGCTACTTAAATCCCTATTAACAAAGTTAAGTAGAGCATCAGATACAATGAAGATGTTACATTGAACATTAGCAGTTGTTGCTTTCTTTGTAATTTCTAATAGGACTCCACTCTGGGTGTTTACGATCTTTTTTCCACCCCCTGTGGTATCATCTTGGGTTGATCTTAAATCTATCACTAGCGCGAACCCATCCTTGTAAAAGCGGTCAATTGACATGAACTCGTCGGCCATCGACTTTTCACACATCGGGCAGAAAAACCTCTTTGCCTCTTCAAAGAGTTTGGAACACCTTCGATGGTCAACATGACTTTCTCGATGTTGGGGTACAAGTACTCTTCTGAGTCAGTTCTCACCCGGTTGGTAAATAGTAGGACAATAGCACACATACTCTTCCTGGGAATGTTGATGTTTTCATTGACGATGGTAAGGTCCTTGTCCCAATTACTGGTCCTCATTAGTGTAACATGCTTGTAAGACAGACTTCCACCAGAGGTGTACAGACTTGATATTTCACTGGCAAGGGAGTCATTCTCAATGGTCTCATACTCTAACTCGAGGTTTTCTAGTTTGTAGCCATCAACTTGTTCACCACCTTGTGCAGTCATTATTTCAGTATGTTATTGATTGGCTTTTTCAGCTTAGTGCCGTAAATCGATTGGATTAGGGCATCTGCCACTTTACTGTCATCACCTACCTTTGCACCTGAGTCGTCACCGGAGAATAGCTTGCGAAGGTTCTCCCCTGCTAGTCCCTGTTCTATCATCTTCTTCCTGTCTCCCAGTGTGAGCCACAGGTCCTTGTACACCTCGAACAGACTTTCACCTGAACAGTCGTAGGCTGTCTCCCCTGCTACTTTTATTTGTAACCGTTTGGCTAAAAGCTTTGACAGGTTATTCATGAATCGGCTTTTAGTGTTTGAGTTTTTGAAGTCAAACAGTAGACTTAGTGATCCGGGGACTAAACAACTGGAAGGCTTGAGTTTAGGTATGTTGATATACAACTCTTCCCCAGGGTTGATTGTTGTTGGGTTGAATGTGACCACACTCCTAGTACATGACCCTCTGATTGTTGTCATTTTACTCCTTCTGAAACCGGGCTCTAGTTCCTTCTCTGTGGTATTCATTTTATTATACATTAGTTAATGTTTAACTGTAAAGATAGAGCACACCATCCACCACACAAACGATTAAAATCCATACATTATCTGATAACCATTCTAACCCGTTTGCCACCTTTTCGAAGATGGGTGGTAGTTTCACTTGTAACTCATCTTCTAAGTTTTCGATTTTCCTGTTAATCCTTTGTGATGAATCACTAAGATTCCATAGTATCTTTCAACTTATTTATATTACCATGCTTGTGACTACACCCGCGGAAGCAATTAGGAGTACAGACAGAACACCTGCATTCCTCCTTACCCACCGTTTCAACCTCGCGAATCTTTTCTCGTCTTCACGTGTGGTGAGTTTCCTTCTTGTTACCTTGTCTCTCAAGTTAAGTAGATCATCCAACTTTGACTTTCTCTGGTATTCATTTGACAGCATTCTTATGTATCTCAGCTTTTCTGACTTCCTATTGAATGATTCATCGAACTTGTCTGAGTAAACCATTTCAGAAAGCAAATAATCTCCCGTATCCATTAGATCATCATAGGATAGTTTAGAAAGTTCTGGAAACATATCCTCCAACTGTTCTCTTGTATATTTCACACTTATCTTTCTTCTTTTCAATTCCATCACATACCTCATCTCTATCTTCTGTTAGAAACTGTATCTCATCATGTAGACTTTGCAGGTTCATGTCTTCATACAGTGGGTACATCTTCCGTAATTCCTCCATTTTCTGATCAGTGTATTCCTCTGGATCCACCTCCCTGCTTGTTTTACCTAAGGTAATAGTCATATAGTAGAAGTGATATTGCTACAACTAATACCCATAAGTTTGAAGCTAACCAAGCAATACCCTTCGCACCCCATGATAACACTGTTGCGGAATAACACGGAATCTGGAAATGTCTTCAACTTGGGCTTGTCTTCCTTCCTCAACTTCTTTCTGCATGACTGTCCTATCCCTTGCCTCCCTAACGGCTACTATTCTTTCTTCCAGTCTAATGAACTCCTCTGTGTCATCTGTTTTCTCCCTCAGTTCCATCGTTTTGTTAATTGCGTCTTGAAAGTATTCTACTTGCTTCTGAAGAGCACCGTTTTCACACACACGTGATTCCGGGTCCGTTGTGTCTGTGAGGTTAAGCACTCCACGTAGCTCTCTGTTTTCTGTGGGGGATAAGCCTGGGATGTCATCTCTGAATAGTTTCACATCTATGAGTTCTATGTCTTCGAACATGGTGTCAACATCATCCTGATCAACAGTTGTGGGTTCCACATCGTCACCCCCAAACGCTTTATTTACGTAACCCTGAGTGCTAGTTATCAGTTCGTCTTTAATCTTCCTCACCAATTCCTTGTATTCTCTCAATGCGGTTGAATTCTTAGAGTATGTTGGAATGCTGGTCTTTCCACGTTTCATAATTTGAACACCACCTTTGTCAATACCTCTTTCACTTCTAAACATCAACACCTCGGTGCCATCATTTAGTGTTTTCACAGATGATCTCCTGACTAGTTCCCTGACATATTTATTCCTGGGATCTAGCACTATTTTCTCCTTTCCCTGTACAACCCAAACAACAGCTAGCACACGCTCCACCTGGTTTTCGAAATCCCTTTTCTTATTCGCTGACATTAGGTCTTTTGAGAACTTTTTTTAGCTTTGAAAGTCTTTCCTCAATATTGTCCCAATCAGCGTCAAACGAATCGTTGTATGCGTCCATCACATCTGGAAGCAAATCGTTTGGATCCTCCACGAACTCAACACCTGGAGCTGTGGCACTTCCAGAGGGTACTGTGATGTTTACGGTTCCTTCTTCTCCCTTAGTGAAAGAAGTGTCGGCTGTCCCGCGGTCCTCCATTCTCTTCTTCACGTACTCAATTTCGCGGTTTATGTCAGTGATGGTCAACGGATCTGAATTATACTTTACCTCTCTGTGTAGCCTATTTGTGAGTTCGTCAAAGTTTGATAGAAGGTCGTGGTAGTCCATGTCGTCATATTGAGGATAACTTTCCCTTGTCTCTTCCAAATCAAGGTCATCGTAGTCTCCGGCGTCCTCCATCTCATATACTAACCTATAAATCAGGTTGTCTTCCTTCAGCACTTGAAAGCTCTTGTTCGTAGAACCTACCAATTATTGGTTCACCAGCACTTTCTTCAATTGTATATGTGTTCGGCTGCCCGTGGTACACTTCCGTCACAGTGAATAACTCCTCCGTGAAGTTTGCTTCGTACCCCTTTGCGAAAACTGATTTGTACTTTGAAATCCTCACACTTTCTCCGACAGCAAACTTTGGCTTCGGTGGTTCACCTAGGTCGTGACTGAAAAGTGTCTTCCATACTTCAGTCCAGTTTGACTCATTGACACTATCCGGTCTTACTTTAATTGACCTGTTCACTGAACTGTTGTAGTTGCCGGTTAAGTCTTGGAGAACGTCTAACCATTTATATGTGCTGGCACTGTAGAAGTACTTCCACATTAGTGCTTTCAGTGTTCTGTTGAACCTTTCCACAACTGCGGCCTTTTATCTGAGTAAGTGGAGAAAAACTCAATGTTGTGTTTGTTGAGCAAAGACTTTACCTCTTTGTTGTAAAACTCTGTGCCTTACTTCCCGAAGTGATTCTTAAACTGCTCTAAACAGTTGCTAACAGCTTCCTTCATTGTTACCGCGTTTTTCCTGTGCACTGGTACTGTGAACGCGTACCTACTTAGAATTTCTATGGATGTGAAAATCCACCTGTATCCCTTGTTCTTGTCGTCGTACTTTGTCATGTCGACTAAATCCATTTGTAACTGCTCACCTAAAGTTTGGACGAACGTCTGTCTGAACTTGTACCTCTTTAACACTTGTCTGTATCTAGTGTATGTGTCCTGCTCGTTTATCCATTTCCTGACTTGGGCTTTGGTCACTTCAAGTCCATCTGAGATTTAGGTATTAGGTATTATGTATTAGGTATTTATTAGGTAGGCATAGCTTTTCAGGTGTCTGGAAACCTGTCTTAGGACTGTAGTAAATATCCCTTAAACCTTGTTCGCTCATAATGTCGTCGTCCATCATATGTATATTAAAATTAACCAATGTATGACCACTATTCAAGGTACATCTCAATGAGTACCTCACCTATATCAATCGGTTTTCCGTCTTGGTTTGTCACACAGAATATAAGTTCTGAGCATGTTCCTTTAACAATTGAAGTTCTGCTTTCAACGTCAATGTAGCTAGCCACTGAGCCTAACAGTGACCGGTCCGTCGGGACTGTTACACTTGTTATCAGATCGCTTGGCTTCCCCCAGTGATTGACGTTGTAGCTCTTGCTTGCAAGATTACAATGAATGTTTACGAACCTGAGACCATCGTTGAAGTCAACTCTACTCTCACCACCAGCACTAGCACCTTTTGGTAACGCAAGCTGATCACCAAACCTTCTCAATCCGAGCATCCCTAACAGTTTTCTTTTGATAGCGACTTTGTGTTTTGTCGTCTCTATCCACGTCCTGGCGTTCTGGTGGTAGTACGTTAACATAACCCCACTCCTTTCCAGTTTTTCTTTCACATCATTGAACGTGTAGTATCCTGCGTCAACGTCTACATTTGTCTGTCCATCATCTGTTTCCACCATCATTATAGTTGTTTGTTCCTTGATGTTGAAAACCTCTCAGAAAACCGCAACCCTTTTCACAAAGACTGAATTGTAGTTGCTTGTTAAAACTGAGATCTGTAGCGGTACAACTGTGTGTGAACCCTTGACAAGTACTGTGAACTTCATCACTCATTACATACGTTAGTGAAAGGATCACTCATCATTTCATAACCTAAGTACATGGAACTTCTCAAAAGACCTGAAGTTCAAAGGAAGAGTAATGAGGCAAGGCGAAAGGTAATCACTAAATTCATATCAAAGTATCCTCATGCTGATATGAGTAAGTTTGAGTTTGAGGTTGATATAGATTGACATCACTGTGGACTGCTTCACAAGAAACCCTGAATATGTGAAGTTTCTCACATCTTTCATTGCTACTAGAGACGGATGGCCATTGGTTTGGGCTTCCCATGGTAAAGTGCCGGCTTTCACACATCTGAGAGAACCTAAGCATGAGTGGGGTATTCACCACTACCCTACCTTTCAAAGTGCAATCAACCTTGGATATCCGATTCACAACTTCAAGGTGTATGTTTCTGATACGGAATACTTTTACTCCAAGTTTACACACATTGAACATTATGATTGGAAAAATAAGTCAGTACTTTATGAAAACAATAGGGGTACTGATGCGCTTCCTAGTGATGTTGAAACTGATATACGTACTGTGGGTATGGACTTCATAAATGACCCATACTTGCACAGGTGTGTTCTGCATACATTGTTACCTTCTTGTGTGGGATTTCCCTTAACAACCTGCAGTGGGACGACCACACTCCCAAGCAGATTACATCTATAGCTAGATATCACCTTTACTACACCATGAAAAAGTTTATTAAAAAACCGGAGCTGATGAAAGCGTACGATCTTAGTGGGATGAGAGGTCACCTTCCAGTTAGCGTTCAGTCTTTCAATGGGGCTATTCATGGAGGTGGTACTTATGTCAAGGCTGGTTGGGTTAACTATTCTAATACTGATCACCTTCACTTCATACCGTATGACTCTGATGGTATCACATCTGTTGGAACCAAGCTTTTAATGAAAAGTGTAGAAAGTTTTGTGTACTCAGTGCTGGGAGCACAAACTAAAACAAGGTGGAGTATTGTTACTGATCAGCTTGGTAAATCACTACAAACACAAGGTTTCTGGCAGATTGTGAAAGACACAATTATTCAGACAGATGTCAATTTGACTATTTCAAATATGAGGAATGCTATTAGTGATACCTACGTTGTCCTGAATATGGCTATCAATCCTAATATCATACTTCTTCCATCAAGTTTAATCATTCTTAAGAAACCAATACCCGGATATAACAACATACTTTCAAATCGAACAAAGACTACAACTTTTGGTATAAACTCCAAGCTTAAGCTTTACGGGTTAAACACTCTGACCCTCCGAAGAAACAACATCAGGAAGATGAACCTGTAAATCATTTAAACACTCTAAGTGGTAACACAGCATCCCCCAAGAAAGCTGCTCCTCACGCTCACCATCAGGTGGCCACCCCTAGGAAATCGCAACAGTCTACAGGTGGTGGTGCTCTGGCTGGTCTCGGTATTGGAACAGTTGCTACCTTCCTTCTACTTAGGTCAATCCTGTGAAACATCTTGTATGTTATTAAACGGCACTCTACCAGGGTTATGGTGGTGGTAAAATTCAGGTTAATATATCTGGTGGAGGTGGAGTCGACAAAAATGGTTTTATCATGAAGGGTGACATTGAGATGGATGGAAATGAAGTGAAAGGTCTTGGTGCACCAACTGATGACATATCTGCTGCTACCAAGAAATGGGTAGATGATCAAATAGTAAAACAGGCTGCAGTAACGATACAACCAGCAGGTTTCACAATGACAGGTGACATTAACATGGGTAATAATAAGATCACTAAGCTTACCACTGGAAGTGACTTTGAAGATGTAGCTAATGTCCAGTATGTGCATACCTATGCTTGGAATAATTATCTTGCATTGACTGGATTCAACACACTGAAAGGGGAGGTTAACACAGGTGGCCACGGTATTAGAGGACTACCAACCACAGCACCTAGAAGTGACAACGCAATTTCCAGGTTCTATATGAATCAGTGGACCACTAGTAAGTACGTCCCATTGGATGGTTCGCGTGCAATGTCTAACGATCTTAATATGTCAACCATTGAGATTAAAAACTTAGGAGACCCCACAACTGATAAGTCTGCTGTTCCTAAGGATTGGGTTGAAAGAAAACTCAACTCACCTATCACCAACCTTAACATTGCAGATGACATTGATATGAAAACCACGAGATTAAGAACCTTGGTAATCCAACAACAGACACCTCTGCTGTTTCTAAGGGTTGGTTTTCCTCAAAAGCTCAACATCTTGCGCCTACAACTGGCTTCATCATGTCCGGTGACATAAGATTGAGCAACAATAGAATCACAGGCCTACCTACACCAACCAGTGACACTGATGCTGTTAATAAGAAGTGGGTCACTGACCATGTTAGTGGAAGTTCAATTAGTGCTAGCGGTTTCACTATGACAGGTGATATTGACATGGGTGGTCATAGAATCACTGGACTCCCAAGTGGGTCAGGTGGTGAGTCCCATGCATTGTCAAGTAAGACGATAGACACCTGGGGTTTACAGTTTGTGAAACGTGATGGTGGGACCCTTGTTAGTAACTTAGATGCTAACGACTTTGAGATTACACGTGTGGCTAACCCAACAACTGATAAGTCAGCTGTTTCTAAGAAGTGGGTCACAGACCATGTTAGTGGAAGTACAATAAATACTGGAGGCTTCACTATGACAGGTAATATTAACATGGGTGGGTGGAACATAAGCAATCTAGCTGTTATAAACTTCAACAGTCCCGCTGATGGTGCTGCTGCAAATGCTAGGTGGGTCAGAAGTTTTTTCATGAGAAAGGGTGGTGGTCTAGTGGAAGGTGATATTGACATGGGTGATTCTAGTGGTATTGTTAATTTACGTGGTCCCACCAATGCAAAGGACGCTGTTAACAAGCAATGGGTGGAAAACAACTTTGTCAGCTCAAAGGGACACACTGGTTCAATTGGGGATATTGACCTTAGGGGAAAAAGTGCTCTTAATGTAAAAACAACACCTGTTGATGGTAAAGCTGCCATTAACACGGACTATGCTGACAGTAGGTATGTAAGGATTCTACATCATAAGTCTAGCTCTTGGGTGTGGGGTTACCGTGGAGTATCACTTGCTGCTGTAAAATACTACGCTTACTGTCACGATCAGATTCCACCATCATGGAGGACAGATACCATTAACAATCTAACTAATATCAATCTTGATTCAATCACTGTCAAGTCAGACGCACCACTTTTTAGTGACATTACTGATGTACTTATTGAACTCATTCTCTGGGCTACTGTGTATGAAAAACAATCGAATGGGAAGTTCTATAAAGTTAAGAAAGAAATTGTCCTTGGTACTGTTGATATGAGTAAGCTCTCCAATATTTATTTCAATGGAACTTATATTAGTAATGGTGGAAGTACAGCTTGTTATGTCTTCAAGGGTAATAGTGAGTTCTACCTTGGAAATCAAGCTGAGTTGGTTGACAACACTTTAGCGTGGTGTGTTATCGTTAAACCTCAAACACAATGCCCACTGGTAAGAGCATGGACATGTCCTTCTGTTGGTCGCTGCTTTACTCGGGAGCTAGTGGAGGTTAATTATGTGTTGTTGAAGGTGGTGTTAAACAGAATGTAAGGTAGGGGTAATGGGTAACACATGGTCTGGAATGAAGACCTCGGATCAGTCCCACACTCTCGAAAATGACCATTTTTCCCAGAATTGTAAAAACTGGTACTGAATAGCGTCTAGAAAAGGGTTTTAGCATGTTCTAGGTCGAGGTCAATCTAATGTAATAAACGTGTGACGTGGACTGCAACGAATGATGGAAACTGGTATTTTCAGGGGTGTGAATTATCCAGCACCCCCCCCCCCC